GATATGATAATCCAAATCAGATACTATTTACTAAAATTATTCTGTCTTTATTGGTTATTAACTTAAGAATAAAAAAATTTTATTTGATCTCGATATTCTAAATGTTCAAACTCCTTAACTATCAAAGCGACCACTTGAGCCTTCTTTTTGGTCATATCATATTTTATATATATATATATACAAACGATTTTGAACAAGATCGAGTTCATTCAAATATAATGGATATTACCATCATTACAAATAAAATAACACTTCTAAAAAGATAATTTTGATGGATTTAAAAAGTATATTTAATATGAATAATTTTAAAATTATTCTTTTTAATTATTTGTAGAGGATAAGTGATTGTGCATCTATATAACCCATAACCCATAACCCATAAAATAATAGTAGATTAAAAAATAAATAAAATTGAGTATACGAAGAGGTATAGTTTGTAAATGTGAGTTTGAGAGAAACTTGTACGGCAACATTAATATAGACAAGAGTATTTACAAGAATAAAAGAGTTGGGGATGATGTGAGATAAGTGACTAGTTAAAGAGGTATCATCGATCATATTAAAAATTGAGAAAAAAAAAGACCTAAAGCAGCTTATAAGAAAGAAATGATTATTATAACATAAAGCAATACTACATTCAACGAGGAAGAAGGAGGTACAAAGCAATAATAACAAAGAAAGGATAAAAAAAATAATTCCTTGGAGCAACTATAACTTAATACCATGAGAAGAAATGGCTAATTGAATTTTTATTGATAATAAATATGAATTTATATACACAAATAGAGATTATAAAATATGATAATTACATAATTTTTTTAATCAATAATAAATATAAAAATATTCACTAAATCATTTTATGGTATAGGATATCACAATGAGATCATGATCTTCATTATTGATAGAATAATGATTATATATTATAATAATTTTTATGATTTATAATTATGATAATATAATATCAAAATATTAAGAAGATCATGATAATCTTATCATAATTTATTTTGTTCAATAATATCTTTCCTAATAGAGGATTGTCTCGTATCATCATTAACCGAAAAAGTTAGAATATATATATATATATATATATATATATATATATATATATATATATATATTAGCTTTAGCCGAAAATCATAACTAGTTGACTCACACTCTTTGTTATTTGATTTTTTAAATTAATCTTATGGTATTGAGGATTTGAATGAATTAGTTTATATATTGGATTTGACTTACAATTTAAGACTTTAAGATTTTATGCCGCCTCATTATCATAGTTAAATTCAGATTTGAATTCTTAAAAATCTTTTGCCAAACTTTGTTGGATGTAATTTTAAGCCTTAAAAATGATAGAATATGGCTGATTTAGATCATCGATCAGGTCCTCATCAAATGTAATTTCAGACCAAATAGAGCATGATTGAGCTCGGGTCGAGCAGCCTCATTAGTACGTATATATATATATGTATATATATATATATATATATATATATATATATATATATGTATATATATATATATATATATATATATATATATATATGTATATATATATATATACATATATATATATATACATATATATATACATATATATATAATCAATTTATTGAAATACGTAAAATGCTTGTTTAAAAGCAATTAAATAGAATGACATGTAGGATTTATCACTAGTGAAAAATCATACTAATTTATCCCCAAAAGACGTGTATCACTATGTAATATAATAAATTACATACTTTTGAACCATCCACAGGTACGGATCTTCGGTTTCAACCTAACCATCAAGAGCCAAATTAAATTGAATCAATTTTTTATACCATTCAATTATAGTAAGAAAGGCTTGAAACGATACCAATTTAGACCTATCTAATTAAATTAGTTACATTTATAATTTTAAATTATATATATATATATATATATATATATATATATATATTGTAATGAATTAGTATGATTCGATTAAAGTAAGGTGGGTTGAAACTGAAAACGAACTAGTTTAGAACCTGTTAATCCGGTTTGATTAATCAATTAAGTAATTAACTGGTTCACTTTAACGGAGAACATGGCTGAGGCCCACGACACAGTCGAGTGAAACAATTGACGGTACAAAGATAACACCAAAACTGTCATTTCCTTTGTTCTTCCACACCAAAAGAGTGAGAGTTGTTTATAATTATCAAGGAGTGAGAATGAAGATTCATGTTTATAACCAAGACCAAAATAACATAGCAAGTAATATTCCGTCTATATCTTGGACATTATTGAACATTTTCAAGATCAAATATTACTTGTCGACATGATCAATCATTAAAAATAAATATTCATCACATTTTCGTCTATATCTCGTAGACATTGAACATTTTACTTGTGCAACGTCTGATTAACACATAATAAATAATTATCTAGGGTTTGATAATCGAGATCAAATATCGTTCATTAAAATTTTTTTATCTTTATGGATTGCTGATCAAATATCTCAGATATATTTCTTATGCATATGCATATAATCCTAAATTGAGTCAAGACATTACGGATATTAGCACCATAATGCAATAAACCAGGGCAGATAATGAAATCGGATCGAGATGGAATCATCTCCATCTATACCTCATTCCTCCACTCCAGAATTCACATCAGCAGTTACACTTGCATATTCTCGTATGTCTGCTGCTGCCAATGCAGGGGACGGTCCGCTGCACGTGCCATGTCAGCCACCCAGAACTGAGAAGAGTTTCGACGAGTCGAGTCAATGCGACAAGTAGCGTTGCTTCTTCATAGCTCCATCGTACGTCCTCCATCATCTAACACTGCCGACAGTACTGCTGTCCAACGACGTGTACTAAGTTGCGACGTCCAACAGCCTCCACGGTTAAAATGTGTGCAGCGAAAGAGCTTCATAATTCACAATACCACACGTCTCACTGCATCGCATACGTGTGTGCGCACTCGCTAAATCTCACAGCAGCTCTGAAATTTTAAATCACAAGACAACATGCCAACGTGGGTAGGGCTCGGAATTCGATACATGACAATGAGACAACAGGAATTCGGCCAGACCTCGAGCCACCCAAGACCTATGTGTAAATTAATAAGATACTCGTATCTATTTTTTTGCTGACCAAATAATTTAATGGGGATGAAGGAAGATGCTTTGCACGAGGCAGCACAACGTCGGCGTCTGTCGTACACGTACCTTCTCGAACCCCATCACTGTCCATCGAGACCGTGGGTTCTTATCGTGTTTCGCACATGATGTTGATGGTGGCCCGGATGCGTCTTGTACCTCCGGCGTAGGAGATAAACGTGTACTCCAAAGAACATGAGGAGAAACACGGCCATGACTTCCCGTTTACCTTGCCAATAATTGTGCAGGATTCATGAAATTACTGAGGTTGGGACCCACTCAGACTCATTCATTGACCACCAATTACCCTGTCTCCAATCCCCCCACGTGTCTATATAGGTCAATGGTGAAAACAAAACCCCTCAGAGTCGTAACACTCTTAGATACGACTCGAAGGAGTAATTTAATTTCCACTTGGAATTTTACTTTTTCCTTGCTTAATCCCACTGTTGTATATTGATCATGGTGATATCTCTTAGAATAAATGGCAGACAACGCGATCTATTCCTCAGTGGCGTGCCTTGCATGAATCTTACAAGCATTCCGAGACAAAGGAAGGTACCAGCTTTACAGTTCTCTCCTGAAACCCATACATTGGCAATCCTGTTGCTCCGTCGTACCAGCTTTGGACGCATGTATCTTCTTACCTTCCGGTATCAGATGCATACCTACCATTCTCCCCTTCTCTCCGGGAGATGCTGCGAGGTGTCTCCATGATTGGAAAGCACTGTTCAACAATCTAGCGAAAGCACCAGTTGGCACCCACGAAAGCATGTGTCGATTTCACCGATAAATAGCTTCGTCCATCACGGTATGCATGACAAAATATAAGCATCAGCTTTCGCAGCCATCGGTGCTTTGTGGACAGGTCCATGACAAAGTATAGGTTGATGGTCGACTCGATCGATCGATCTTAGACGAATGGAGTCAGACCAATCTCATTAATCTATAGCCTGATCCATCCCAAATCGACCAAGTCCTGATGATCGTACAAAATTCTGGTTCTCGCCTTGTTCTTTTCACGTAAAGACAACTTTGTCCTTCACTGATTCGCGCGGTACGGCCGCACTACCGTGGGTCGTGACTCATCGATCCCCGGCCACGTCACATGGTTCGGCTCGTGTCAGTGGTTTCCGCCGATCAGCGCGAAGTGCGCGGATCCGTCCACGTCGGTCGCATCCGTGCGTCCGCGAGCCGTACGTGTGAGGCCAACTCGTCACCCGCTCGCCCCCGCATCTGATCAATCTCCGCCGTCGAAGCTGGCTACTGGTTGGTTCGGGAGAGAACCGAGCAACGAGCCCAATCCCCCACACGATCGCGCCAAGTGGCTGAAAACATCGGATCCCCCCCGTGGTCACGGGAACACCATTCGTTCTGTGGGCCCGTCGCCTCTTGCCACGCGTCCCGCTGCAGCTGGCAAAGCGACGAGTTTAAATATCTTGGAATCTCCCCCCATCCCCTGCAGCGTTTTCCTCTCGCTCGATCTCCTTCTCGCTGCTGCGGCTCTATTTTAATTTATACTTGTAAATAACAAAGAGTTATTAACCTGAGTTCTTTTGGGACAATTGTTAATGCCTGGAGGATAGTCTTAATTTTAAAGATTTTTTTTTTATATTGATCATCGTCTATGAAGCATATATTATCTATGTGACCACATGTCTACCCCAATGTGTCACCTTCAACATTAATTTCAGGCCACAATAAAACACCTATATTTCTCTCGGAACTTGGACTCGAAATTCGCTTACATTAGCTAGCGTTACTAACGCGGAACTCAACCAATCCTTCCAATTGGAGAAGATAACGGGACCCACCAGAAGTCCCTACTCGCGGGGTCGTTTCAAGTCCAATAACAAGTGTGGGTAGGTCGACAATGCATATACGCATAAAGATTCGGTCGTATACGCTTGCCCACCGACTATGAATAAACTCCGTGCCGAGCGGAGGGGGATAGGCAAGAGAAGCGGCGAACGTGCTCTCTGCTCTGCTTCCCTCCTTTGCGTTTTGTTTAGGTTTTGTGCGTATTTGTTCTGCTACGTTATAAGCTTGCGCATGGATTCCTTCTCTCCTCCTTCCTTCTACTCTCTGTGTCGCTCTGGTTTTTCTTCATCAGGAGACCTCCGCCTCCGAAGCTGCGTCTCTCCTTCGCTTTCCACTTCCGCCCGATAAATACTCGTATCGCACTCCCTCCTTCCACATCCCCAATCTCTCTCCTTCCACCAAAGAACAAAGAAGAAAGAAGAAAAAGATTTGTTTTTTTTCTTCGTGAGTGTGGTTAGAATTGGAGATAAATGATGTCTCGGAAGCCGCTAATGCTCAAGGACTACCTTGAGCTGGACTGGAATTCCGAGACCAGCAGCGCCGGGTTCCGGTGCGTCCCTCGTCGGGCCGAAGACGCCGCGACCGTGCGGTGCCTGCTGGACGCGGAACTCCGTGGCGGCGCTGGACGGGAGCTGCCGCGGACTCGATCCATGAGCCCCCTGATCTCTGCCATGTTCAACGCTGTCAGGCTGCTGCACGTAGCCGCTTCCGGAGGAGCGCGCCGGTCTGGGGATGAGGGATTGCGGTCGAGCAGCTTTTCGAAGAGGCTGAGGGGAAGCTTTTGGAGGCGGAGAGGGAATGAGGAGGAGAACAGGGTGAATCTGAGGAACATCGTACGGCTCAGGTCGTTTCAGGAGGAAGAGGAGGATGAGGTCGGCGACGAACGAAGGTCGTTCGACTTCCCGTCACCAGTCGTCAGCAGCTGCAGCAGCGACAAGGAATCCGACTCCTGTAGCTCGGACTTCGTTCCGTCCTCCAATGCCAGTTCCGGCGACACAGAAGCCGCCACCGGCTCTACCACCGCCGCCGCCATGGACGTCAAGGATGACTCTCCGCTGGCGAGCCCAAATCGCAGCCCCAAGGGGCGGAACAGCGTCCAAGAGGATGCCGCAGCGAGCGTCGCCGGCACCAAGGTGAGCGTTGGTTTTATTTAATACCCTTAAATTATTCGAGGGGCCACCCCTCTCACCTCCGTGGGCCGACCTCGTGGGCCGACCGCATGGGCGGTTACGATGGTTGATTAGACCTGGGACCCATCCCTTAGCTTTCCACATCACCGTCTGGCCGATGGTCCCGACCTTGTCGCATCCTTTTTACCACTGTTTGAACTTGCCAACCCATAACTTTACATCCGCGAAAGCCTCTTCCCTCCCTACCGCCGGAGGAACAACAAAATAGGCAGTGGAGGTTGAGAACCACAAACAAAACGGTACGTGAAATATAGATTAAAGCAAAAGCTGGGGAAAAGCAATGGCCGATGTCTTTTGTGGTAGCCTGATTTGTCGTCTACTTGAGAAAGAAACTGGAATTACATGGAAGTGGTCAGTGGGTGAGGAATCGAACCTAGCTAGAGAGGTGCAGTTAAAAAAGGCTGTAATTCCTCCCCTTGTTCTACTGCGAGTCCGTGATCAGGACATGTTGTTGGCACACCTAATTGGTTTGCTGGCTCGGTGGGGATATTCTTTTAATTCCAAAAGCTACGATAAGGCTCCCATTGGAGGCGACCTCGACCACGCGTGCTCCACTTTTTTGGCCTTGCCTTGGCAGTCGCCCCTTTTTTTTTTTTGGAACCAAATGAGTTTTTGTCTTTTACTCATCGGCATTTCTTTTACACGAAAAAATAGGCAACGGAAGGCCAGGGTGAGGAGTCTCCGGCATGCCACTCTGAGGAGGAGGAGAAGGAACAGCTGAGTCCGGTGTCAGTGATGGACTTCCCCTCCGAAGAGGATGAGGAGGAGGATGACGATGATGATGACACCGCGTCTCCTTCGTTCCACCACAGCCTCGCCAAACTAGAAAGTATGTGACTTAAATTTCTCATTTATGATCTCTTCTATTTTCGTGCCTGACTTCAAAGTTTCAGAAGCAAGTCGTCCTCCATTAATCCGTATCAAAAAGCGGCCACATCATGCGGATATAATGTGTTGGTGGTTGAGGTGGAGCAGTTAGGCTCTGTCTCTCTACGTTCTTGCTGCTGAGCTCAAGGCATCAAGGGTTCTTGTGTTCCGCCATCATCCCCTTCCCTAGTCTTTTGGCATGTGGATGCGAGCCCAGACTGGGACTCGCCACCCTTAACCACAGATACATTGGCACCCTCACCCTGTTCGAGTCTTCTTTATAGTCCTATTATTGATCCCTCGTTAGTAGGCTTTGTTCCGCATGTTTCTGCTACTACAGTGAGACGTTCGCCTCTGTGCCATGTGTGTATTGGTAAGATATGAATAGGAAGAAGAATCCAGCTAACGTGGATGGATCGTGTGTGGGCACAGGAACGAAGCTGCAGCTGCTGCAGAACATCAGACGGTTCGAGTCCCTCGCTAATCTGGACTCGATCGATCTCGACCGTCACGTGGCCAACTCTGATGACCTCTACGACTCCACTAACCACCTGGCTTCATTGGACACCGACGAGGAGGAGGAGGAGGAGGAGGAGCGGGATCGACGAGAAAGGAAGGCGTGGGGCCTACTCGGAGAGCTAAAGGACGTCTGCCACGTGGACGCCCATGGCAGCATCGAGAAGCTGCTGCTGGACTTCTTCATCCAAGGGCTGCCCTGCTCCGGCGATGACGCTCGGCCGATGAACCCCACCGCGCACCATGGTCCGGCCGAGCGACCACTGTTGGACACCGCGAGGGGCTGGATCGAGGGCGCCGGGTGCCGGGACCTGGACGACTACCACGGGGAGGCGACGCTGAGGGAAATGGAGAGGAACCGGCGGTGGCGATGCTTCCAAGAGCAGGAGAAGGAGGTAGGGTCGGAGGTGGAGGGACTGGTGCTGGTGTTGTTGATGGAAGAGCTTGTGGGGGACCTACTGCCGTATTGAACAACGATCTCGTTGTCGCTGTGATGGATGGTTGGTGTAATAAATTAGACGGTGAGTTCGTTGCGGAAGTCGTCTGTACATGAAGAGGGCGTTGCAAAGCCAACCAATTTTGGCTGTCGAGATGAGAAGCAGGCGGTATTTTTCCTTCACAATGCGTGTCTTCAGGTGTTATGTGCTTGGAATCAGATACTGCCACCATCAACGCAGCGCCTCGTACGCATCTTAAAGCCTGTCAGATTCAAATGAACTAGGGACGGCGGGGATCCGAAACCCAATTTATGTTGGGCCATATGAGATATACGTGCCACGTTGGCCCAATTATGTTTGGATCGATTAGAGTTAGGTCAGGGGTCAACATTAACCCAACCCAAGTCCAAAATACATTCAGGGCTAATGGAAACACATTGGTTTGTACCATTTGCCGTTGCTAATCATGAAGTAAATCAACCAGATGAATCGTGGACACCAGACAATATAGTTTGGTGTGCAGGTCCCTACCAAAAATATGTCATTGCTTTCCTCCACCACCAGATTCTGCACTCATTCTAATGTCCAAAGCAAATCTTCCACCAACCACGCCGAACCATGAAAGCGTAGGCGGGTCTTGGCTTGTCTCCTCGCCTCTTCAATCCTCCACGGAGCTGCTGATACCTCCCTTTCAAAAGCTCGGCGCTAAATTAAGCATCAAGGCCTTTCGGCTTCACGTCGCAAACCCCACCGCGTCTTCTTTGACGGCTCCCACTACCCAACCCTACCGCCTCTTCAAAGTCTCCTCCCATTCTTTGGTTCCCTGAACCGGCCCTGACACAGACGGAGAACATGCACTGTTCCTCCAACCGCTGCTACAGTAGTCCATCTCTTTCAGCTTCCATTGTTTGCTCCCATGGGACCACCTGCAGCTCCTCGTCTAGAAATGTTGCCATCATTATTGAATGCTCCAGAAACCATTTCACACGTGAATTCCGTTAAGGGAGGTTGGACGCTGCATAGATCAGAAATGCCCCGTATGGCAAGTGAGGAAAGAAACATGGAGTCGATCGAAACATATTCTGCTCCGCAGTGATCCACAAGCCATTTTGATTTCAGCCTCTCAGTTCTGTGTTGCTTCTCTAGGAAATATATGAGACAAGGCTATAGATGTAATGCGCAAGGCCATACTTGAAGGTCAAGCAATGGATTCGCAAGAAGGAAGAGACAACTTCAGGCCAAAGACAGGGACAAGTCCCAACATAAAGCGTGGTGGAAAGTCTGATGTGATATGTTCATAGGTATCGGCATATTAAGGTTAATATGATGGTGCTATTACATGCCTGCATTTGTCCCATTCAGAGAACGCCCCGAAGAGAGCCACAGAAACAGCTGCTTGAGCTCAAGCAGAAGCCGAGCTGGTTGAGGATACAATGGAGCATCTCTGGCTAGAACATACCAACGGAACGATCCAGTCCTGTTTTACCTGAACAGGATTTTGTTTTTCTATTATAGGAAGCTTTTTTAGAGTATAGTGCATGTATTAGTGAAATTGCATATAGATCTTTTACACTGCAATTATGTGTATAAAAGAAGTAAATATGATGGAGAACAACTCTGGGGACCAGAAGGTTAAAATTATCGTGGAGGATCACATCATAAGGTCAGATCAAAACAAGGACCAGTACTTAAGTTAGTCAAGAAAATAATAATGGTAGTACTACATAATTCAGTGTGCGTACTGCAGGTCTAATATTTTGTTCTAGGAGTATTCTCAATCCGGTGCACACCAAAAAACCATGCAGACTCGGTCACCGGTCTAATGGACTCACTCATTCAGTCATCTTATATCGCCACATCGCCCATGTAAACTATATGTGAAGTTATCATGTGATGGTCACTCCCCTCTCGTCTTCTGACTATTAAGTTATGGAGGCCCCTCTTGGCAGTGAAGGAAGCAGCTTCGTCATTTTGCTTCGACGCTCTGTAAAAAGCAACTGTATATACTAAAGATAACTGAAGTAATAAGCTTCTGTGTGATGTGTAAGTCTTCGCTAAGAATCTTTTATTTCCGATAGATCGGCCAAGATGAGGACACACAGGTTAGCTGCAGGCATTTTGCGTCGACGGGGATGATGCGGAGCCCATGTCTTCAACTCTGACCGGTCTTTTGTTTGTTGTCTATCCCATGATTCGGCGGTGGCTTCCAAAACACATCTCCGTAAGCTTCCTGTTTGGCTTACCTTTGCGGACGAGCTTATTTCCATATTCTATTGTCAACCACAAATCTCAATGTTGGGTTCCCTCTTTCACTTGGTGTGCGTGTGTGGGGCCCGCAGGCTTTGTCTCTTTGCCAACATACGTAAAAGCCGAACAGAGAGTCGTTTCGAGGGACCCAATGGGCGGGGAACATCTTTAACGTACTGAGTCGTGTAATTACGCGCGTCTATTGAGTTACCAGAGCTTTGATGACCGGTAGGCCCCGCCGCCCCAACCCCCACACGCCGGGGAAAGAACTAGCAACCGCGTTTCTACACCGTTCGGGGCATCAGCACCCCACCGCTGCAACCATTTGTTCGCTTCCCGTACCTCGCAATCACCCTACTGCAGCTTTTACAACTGGGGCAAACCGGTGAAGCATATGTTTTACCTCACTGACTTCTATAAGCATGTAAGGACTGTATGCGCATGCAACTAAGAAGGTTGACAGTGTATGAATTTCCATATGCAGGCTGGTGTGAGGAAACAAAAAAGAATACTCCTTCTTTTCCGAGGTCATGGAAAGGGCAAAAAGATTTTGAAGTCAAAGTCAGAGTTGCTAAATTTCCTGCATGCTTTATGATTTGTTTTATGAATAGAGTCCTCTACCTAGGCTTTCAGTTACTTCGGTTATCTTTTCTTTATGTAGGATGCGATCTTAAATCTAGTTCACAGCAATACCTTAGTATCGATGTTTTCACGCATAATATAAACTGGTTATTGTATATACCAACTCCAGCAAGTTACATAATACCAAAATCTACACGCTAGTATTGCATGATATCCTCAAATAGCAAAATAGCTGCTGATAAAAATGGAAGTCTCCCTCTTCGTACTATCCAACATATCCCTAACGATAGCTCCACAAGCTCTCACCCTCCGAAACCTCCGGCGAGTCATCAGAACCGTGCGGACTCAACCTAGGTGGGCTCATGAGCATCCCCTCCGCCATGTTCACCAACAACTGCGGCATGTCGAATATCTCTTCCTCATCTATATAACTCCCTGGCTGTTGTTGCGAAGCAACGGTGTCGACTGCGGCGGCGGCGGCGGCGGCAGCGCCATCGCTTTCGTCGCCCGCTCCGGAACTCGGCATCAGGGAAGCGGCAGCCTCCGCCGCCGCCACACGGATATGGGTCGGAGAGGACGAGAGCGGCGACGGACGCGAGGCAATTTGGTCCGGAAAGTTCAGCTGGGCGTCCGTGCCGCGGAGTGCATGCGCTGCGACGTCGTAGGCCACGGCCGCCATCTCTGCGGTTGTGTACGTGCCGAGCCAGATGCGGGTGGACTTTCGCGGCTCGCGGATCTCCGACACCCACTTGCCGCTCCGGTACCGTATGCCGCGGTAGCTCGGGTGCCTCCGTGAGGCGCCTGCCCTGACGCGTGGCTCCATCTCCGGCTGCGGCGCATTAGCTCCTTGATCATAAGAACGGGTCATCTGCTCGGCGAGTTGAGAAGATGGGAATGCTCGGCTGCTCTCCCCCGCATGACCCTGCAAGTCCCAAGGGCGTTCAGCCATACATCTACAGAGAGGAGGAAAGAAGTCCCACAATATGACAGCAGAGGTGTATGCAATCAGCAAAGCAGTGACGACGACGGTTCACATGATCATGTCGAGAAGTCGCCGTTTGCTGTTTGCTACGGGAGTCTGCTGCTGGGGGAAGGGGGAATGGTGAACGATGTGAAGCATTTAAGGTGTAAAGAAAGAAGGCGTTGCAAGTGTAAGCGTGGGGTTTTCGCGGGAAGGTCAGCGTTCATGGTGAGACGAGGGTAAGAATTGGGCGGCACGCGCTTTGGTGTTGGAGGCTCTCCTTGCACTTAATCACCTGTTCTCCCCGGCGTTAAGCTTAATCATAATGTCAGATTACCCCCACCGTCAACTATCTAACCACACTAATCTGGTTCGTTATTACGTGCCACTTGTGATGGTTACGAAGTTGCTTACGGGCGAAGCCACTTCACAGGATGTGGTTTGGGAAAGAGGTCAAACCGTCTTCCTCTCCTACGTGGAAGCGGGTGGATCTTTTATCTGTTGCTTCCGGGCTGGCTTAACAGCATATAATACACCGTCGGGTCATTATATCTGAACATGTGTAGACACGTGTAGAAAAGTTTGACACGCATTGTATAAGTGTGACCTTGTTTGTCATATTATTATTATTATTATTATTATTGTATTTGGCACCTTAAAAGACATTATGTCTATCAAAATAATTATGTCCTCTAATTATTATTTTTTAAAATGAAATCACAGCTCACCTTTTATAAGGAATGATGATTTTCGCATACTGCTATCATAAAAGCGATATGACCATCAGAGGTTTGGTGTTGATATATCCCTATTCCGCATGACGTAAACATTACATGCGTTGACCACTCGTTGACCATCTCCCATATCTTGGACCCTAATCTTGTAGGTCCATCTTTGCCTTGTGAATCTTTTAATCGTATCAAGTTTCACAAGCAAATCTTGAATTCATACACTTGTAACTTTATTATGATGCCATAAATAGCAAAACCAAGCTAAATGTTACTGTTATGATACGATTAATCTAATATTTAATAACATGCATCGAGACATACATGTTATTACTGATGAATTCCCTGCGGAGTGTCGATTCTTAATATCTCTGTACGTTGTGTCCATGATTATGTGGGACCCATCGGGTCAGGTTTGTAAGACAGCCATATGGAAGAAGAGAACGTTTGACATGGCATACCCGAGACGGCCCTATCTGAGTTCCTTCTTAGATTCACATCGGGCTCCACTCTTGAGATCGAATTAAGATAGCAAGCGTCGATCTCACGGGCCACCGAGCTCGCGCGACATCGGATCCGCGTAGCCGACACAAAACCCCCAGCTGGCCAAATCACGATGAGCCAACACGGTGCGAACGCACCACCGGGAAACGAGATGTTCACTCTCGTCCACAAGCGGAACCCCTCATCTGTCTCGATCGGAACAAGGTCCAGGAAACAGATTCGAGGTGCTCGTCAAAGCTGTATTCCCCCACTGCAGTGTGCCCAACAACTCTCATGCATGCACTTCTTTTGCATCTTATACATCATTTACTTTTTCTAAAAATCTTATCTTGACCGAAATAAAGCAGCCGGCCGCACGATAATTCTGACATTTGGAACGTACGACTTGGACCGCTTAACACGTGTGTGTTCGGTGCACGCATTCAAATCCAACCTTTGAGTCCAAAGATCGAGCTAAATCTCCGGATCAGATTGACCGCAGGTTAGTTTGTCGCTTCCCAAAGTCATGTCACGTCATGTCAACGGAAAAATTGTTTCTATGGGAGGACGGCAAAAGGGCGAGACAACCGAGGTTTCCATGTGGAGCAAACGCTTTTGATGGCTTCGAACCTCGCCATCAGTTTTACATGCAGGTGGGCTGCGTCGAAGTTTGATTCGATCGCAGCTACAAGTGCTGTGAAACGAGCGCGACAATGGCACGAGCTGCGTCATGCAGAAGTGGGCCCATGAAAAGAAGTCAATACTGATCAGAGACGTGAGGGCCGGCGTCGACATCAAAGCTATTACGCGGAGCAAAAAGATGGTCGACAAACAAAGATCACATTTACTGTGTCCCTCCCAAAAGAGTTCCTTCGGGTGCCGCAGTCCATCGACAGATAGAAAGCATCGACATGTCCTCGTAGGCATGGCGGTGTGGGCGGAAGTCAAGGTCACGACGTGGCCCATTGCATCAGGTGGACGGCGGAGAAACATCCGATCCACAGGCACACTCGCCGAGGTCGACGTTGCCTTATCGTCGTCAGCACCAGATTCCAACTGTCGCCGTGTGGCCCCGTCGGTTCGCCTTCCCGCAGCTTCCTCGACGCTCTTGGCCATCCGAGGAGCGACGGCGACGCCGAACACGGAATACTACGCGTCACGCCCCCGCTAGCTGCCCGCGCTCCGTCCGTCGCTCGAGCCACCGCCTGCATCTTCTCGCAGGACGGTTACGGCTCGTGCGGTGTCTGACGAGGGATAACGAGACATGAATGCGTGACGGGACGAGAGGGAGAAGACGCGGGGGTGGGGGGTGGTGGGTGTCATGTGGAGGGCACGGCACGGCACGATCGAGAGCGAGGTCGGGGAGGGTTGGGCGAGATGTCGGCAGGACTAAGAATGACATGTGGTGCGGTTGTGGCCAGGGTGAGGACGGGGGGCGTTGTCATGGAGCACAAATGGAGCAAGGACGGCGAGTTGTCGGCCAAAGGACGTTAGGTCTCGTTAAGGTGATGGGGGCCCGCCGTGTTTCTCGTCTACCCTCGGACGAGTTCATATCAGCAGGACATGATCTTTGTACATCAAGCAAGAAAGAAGAACCTCTTTTGTTTTATTTCATTTCTTTTTTAATTACTTTTTTTTTTATGTAGGCAAATTTAAATTATCTAAATATATGTATTGCATATATATTTTTCATCTAAATTAAAATTTAGCACATATAAACATTCATTCAAACCCTTAAAAGAGTTATGTACATCATTATAGTTAATTTTTGTAATTTGACTATTATTGAACCACTGATTTTAAGCTAACTAATGTGCTTTATATGGAGACTTTAGGATGGAATTAACAATACCCTCTAAAGGGTATATGATATAAATATAAGAAGAAAATTGTGACCACCTCACCGTCACATTATCAATACCATCACTCCTCGAATAATATAGTAACCAATTCAACCTTACGAAAATTAGCACACGATCTAGTAAATCGTTATACAATGTTCATCATATTTGCGCTACACGATCAAATTTAATGTTAAAGATAATGAGTAAACTATTCCCGAGGCCCCTCAAGTACTAAACTCTCTTGGTGCATTTGCTCTTATACAAACTTGGCATTTAATTGAATTCGAGTTAAGACTACCTTAAGTATTATTGAAGAGTTTTTTTAAAATATCCCTAATTTAGTTTTGTAAAATTTGATTCGGAGATTTTTTCGCCTATCACCACCTCGCATTAGGATAGACGAAGAGTAGGTACCCAATTGAATCACTTTAATATTTAAAAGGATATATATGTTGTATTATGTGATAGTAAGTATTTCACTTCAATACTACTCAATACGTATGTAAATAAATAAATAAATAAATAAATAAATATTTATTTATTTATTTATCTCACTAAATTGAAGTTAAATTTTTGTAAATCTCAAAAACTTACACGTAGCATGTGTTGATTAGATATTTGCCATTCCACTGTCTAAGTGACATCATTACGGCCTCACAAGCTTCATTATGAGTGTAAACAGAAAGTAATGTTAAGTAATGAGTAGCAATTACGTAATGGAAATTTCATCATTTGCCCGAGATCTGAATCAATGGAGAAACTAATACAAAAAGATGGAGAAATGGTCATGAACAAGTTGTGTCGGGTAATTATTCAGCGTGGTCACGATTCCATCTTTGGCAGAGTAAGAATTAGCATTAATAGCAAGTACATTAAGAGCAATCATACTCGTTTAGTTTGCGCTTCCATTCTTTTCTTGATGACAGTAATGATCGTGCCAAGTTCATATGGAAAGATGCAAAGCAGCGAAGTTAAGAAAGATGTTGACGGACAAGAACAAGAAATGGGCTCTCGAGGTGGCCCAAACCCCAAAAACGAATAGTTTAAGATGTTTAACACCTTTGATTAAGGAAATAAAGGTAAATAAAAAAAGTTTACTATTCATAGCCCCCTCTTTACTATTAATAACCCCCTTACTATTGACATCCCTATTAAAAAATAATAAAAATATTATTTTACTATTTATAACCCTTGTAATACCGATTTTATCTTTATCTTTATCTTTTTTTCTTCTCTCACAATCTTTTTTAAAATACTAATCTTTTTTAAAATAAGATTATAAATAGTAATTAAAAAAGAGATTATTATTTTCAATCCCTTATTATTATTTACTATTTTATTTTTGAAAAAAATTAATATTTTTAAATTATCCATTTGTAGATAGACATAAATATTCTCTTCTTCTTTCTCCTGAAGAACGACATCAAAAGAGCGACAAGTGAGGTTGGACAATGTCAAGTGGTAATGATAAGTAATAACACCTTTAACTACACAAGTGATAAACATCGAGGGATCATTGACGACATTAGCAACAAGCAGAGAGGCATCGAAGGGGACAACGAGCACTATCCACGACTAACAAAATTTACGATGATGGCATCATGATCAATAAAGAATGATATCAGTAGTGAGGATAAAATAAGGTGTTATGAGAAAGAAAAAAATTTAAAAAGATAAAAATTAATAATACAAGGGTTGTAAATAGTATATTAATAATTTATTATTTATAATGATTATTAATAGTAAGGGGTTACCAATAATAAAAAATGGGATCTGAATAATAAGCTTAGAGAAAATAACTTATTTTCACTTTTACATCATTAGCGTCTCATTTTTCATTTATTCCTATAGAGCATCCTTTATTTTCTAAAAAAATGATATTATCTCCGCTTGCCACCCTCACCTCCTCTCCTTGCTTCCTCCACCCTCCCCTCTCCTCTTCTCTCCTTTTCCTTCGACTGCTTCTTCTCCATCGTTGTGGTAGCTATCACTTGTGCTCTCCCCTCTCATCTTCGTTTATAGCTACTACTTTGACGGTGTCGAGATTTCACAAAGGAGAAGATGCATAGACGATAAGAAGATATATAGATAGAGAGAGAAAGAGAGAGAGAGCAAGGGTGGAATGAGCGGGGTGGAGG